GAGAGTGAGATGGTAGCAATGAGCTCATGGTTTGCAGCCCGAATCCTTCTGCTCTCCCCCCTCTGCGTGTGTCATGCTGGTCAGTCCAACTCAGAAGATTATGAGAAGCCTCAGGAGCTCTCAAGCAGCCGAGGTGTCTCAGCAATCTGCTTTTTCTGTCCGGTTTTGACCATGTTACAAATATCCGAAATTATCAAGAGAGAAGAGCTGGCAGAACAAAGGAAAAACCAAACAAACAAGGAAGGGCCAGATTTCCAGCGAAGAGTCAGGAATCTTTTTTTCATTTCAGCAAATGCACTGAAACACCCGCTGAAGGGCAGATTGAACAAATAGTCCGAGTTTTACAAAGCACAGGAGGGAAATAAATAAATTGGTACAAGTTTTAGGGGCTTCAACAGCATAAACAGTGCTTTTATTTTTGCAGTCTTGGTTCATGGCCAGCACAGTCACTTCCAAGCTGTCTGGAGAGACTGAATTTCTCTCTTTAACCTATGAGGCAGGTCCCCCAGGTTGGATTTGGAAAGTTTAGAAGATGTTTAAACTGCCGTTTATTCATTCTGCATTATCAGACTTGGAAGATGGTGTTCTTTTCACCTTATTTTAGGTGTCTACAGTGTAGACACCCTGAACTAGTCACCCTCAGCTCCCTCTGTACTCAAGGAGGTGAAAAAGGGACTTTGACATCTCCCAAAAAAGTGGAGAGGGTGTGTGACTCACCTGTACTGTTGTCTTGAGTCACACCTCCCTGCATTCGTCTCTCGTAGCTTCGTTGCTAGGACTCTGATAATGTTGATAAAAAGAATAAAATTTACCTGGAAGAGGTGGGAAAAAAAAAAAAACAACAAAGAAAGAATAACTGTTAAAGAAGATCCAGGACACAATAGTGTTGTTAAGTCAATGGTTTCACCAAGATGAGTCACGGGGCTGTGGCACACAGTGACATGATTGTGCTGCGTACGAAGCTCCTCCTGGGAGAGTTTGTCCAGTGGAAGGGGTGAGCTCCACAGGAAAGACCCAGTGTTTGGTGGGATCTAGTCAGCTGTGTTTAACCTGGATGGTTGAGAGAGAGAAGGGAATGGCTTTCTCTGACAAAGTGTGGGCATCTCACATGGAAACACCTACACCTGAGCTAGTCAGCCCAGCAGACACCGGATAACTGGGTATGATATCAATATATAAGGCAGTGCATACCAGGCATTTTGAGGTATGGACCACAGTCAACTCTCAGTATTTTTCATATCATCACTTTTTAAAACTCCATACAGTGAAAGAGTCATTTTCATGGCCTCATAAAACTCTCAAACTTAGTTTGGGGTCCAGGGAGCAGAGTGTAATCAGGTTATATTTGCAGCCCACTAGAGATAAAGGCTATGAGAAGCATTAGTAGGATGCCTTTCCATATTTCCATGTGCAAAAGAGCAAGCAAGAACTGCACCATGAAGAAGATACAGAGTAGACCTACCTGGAGATGACAGATCAAGAATGCAGAAGGGCAATATAACTGTAAAACTTCTGGTGTATGTCTACCGCTAACTCTCCCTCTGGAGGAGTGTTTAATATGGACCAGATAAGGACAGTAAGGAAGCAATATCTACTTCCTATGCAGGGAGTCACATCTATGAATGCATCAACCAAGCTAATCTAGTCCTACAGGAACACGCCTGTGTAGACCCATGCAGCAAACGGTAGCGGCAACATCTCATGGCCACGCTGACACTTAACAGAGATGAAAAATGGGGAGATGTTTGAGGGATTCTCGGCTTTTTGGAGCTCTTCAGAGATTGGTTTCACTGGGGCTGGGATTACACCTGCTGCTGCCCCAGACAAACCCATTCTTGGGACCATGGTAAGGCCACAAGCAGAACCATTGTGTATCTGGCTGCACTGGGCAGATCCCTGTTTCTGGGCTAATGCTGATGCCTATGGGTTTCTCTGAAGGCTTTCAGCTCTTGTTTGACTTCTCAGATGCCAGTACAGCAACATTTCAAGGACACAAATTACCATACCACACACAGTCTCATAGTTTTATGCCAGAAGGGACCATTGTGAACCTCTAGTTTGATCTCCTGCAAAACACAGTCCGTAAGACCTCCTTGTATTCATTTTTGTTTGAGCTATAGCAGATCTGGGTTTCAGTGTTTCCATGACGGAGATCCTACCACAACCATTGGTAAGTCGTTCCAACGGTTAATTATCCTCACTGTTAAAACAAGTAGTTCCCTGAGCCGCTGAATGAACACGGCCTGGTTTGCTATGGCTTTGTCTTCTGTGGTTGGATTCCTTCTCCTTTAACGAGGTGCAAGTTCATTTTGAACAGCTCTCCTCTGTGTTAAAAAGGGGGTACGGTCGTACTACACCCTTTCCCTTGAAAGGGCATTAGTAGAATTTTTCTCCCATATCTATTTGACTGTTTTCATGAAGTTTGTGGGAATTTAACATCCATGCAACCCCATTCCTTTAGTTACATTTGGTTGGAATTTACTGACTGGCACAAAAGTTATAAGGGAGGGATGGATAGACCGACAGGCAGAGAAGCACACAGCCTGGGGGCATATAATTAATTTTCATTGGAAACCAATCCGAAAGGGAAAAAAAAAAAAAAAAAGGCAGGCTTTGTTTCTCGTATGAGTTTTTCTAGCTTCAAAGGCTCAAAAGTGGGATCTTGTTCTGCATTTGTCGGCTAAACTGAAGATGTCCAGCCTTATCACAGTCAGGAGGGAAACTCCTCTAACTTCCTGAAACATGTGCTAAGTTTTAAAAGAAATCCAGACAACTGAATAACATCAAAGCTAGCAGAAGAGTGGAGGGATTTTAAGCCCCTCAACCTCCAAATTCTCTGCAAGCACATCCAGAGAATGCATAACTTAGTCCAGCAACATATGACCAGCCAGTGCGGGAATTGAAAAAGCAGCCAAGTGAACAATATGAACCCACAGAAATTAAACAGAAACAACCCACAGAATATTTTTGCATGATAAATAGCTGCATTTGCAAATAGCCAGGGTACAAGCACAGCAGAGCCTCATGGAGAAACATTATTTTTACAAGGGTGAGCCTCAATTGAGCTCTTTCTCCTCTGCTAATTGGGCTTTAAATTAAATGCAATGGGGTTGCTGGCATTCATCTAGTTGAACTATCTGAACTTTCTTCTCCATCCTACTATTTCATTTCCAATGACCACGATGTGGGCTTGGTGACTCGTTTCTTCCAAGGTACAGGACTAATTGCTGGAGCCAGGTGGAGAATTTCCACCAAAAGGGTGAAGAAAAAAGCCCCCCAAGTCCAAAGCAGCTCACCTAATTGCCCATATGAGCGTATTCACCTCAGAAACTTTCCTGCTGTTTATATGAAGATGGTCTGATTTTCTTCTCACCCACGCTGATCATCTTCCAATGCCTCCTGATTTGTGAGTCAGAAGGAAGTATACAGACCTTGATGCAAAACCCTCCGAAGACTATGAAGAGATTCTCACTGACTCCACTCAGCTACTCGTGCATGAATGTAAAGGGGGACCAGGATGTGTGGGAGTGGACAAACTCTTTTGCAAGCACTCATCTAACCACCAGAAGACGGAGTTATGGAGAACAATAGAGAAAGACAGAGGGAGGAAAGAGGGTAATTAATGAAAACTGTGAAAGCAGGTTCTCTGGCTAATTACAGCCCTGCTCAAGGAAACACGTAACTACCCATCAAATTCCCCTTGTGCAAATAATCACATCTTATAATGACCTCTGCAGCTTGTGAGAGCTCAGTCCTGTGTCTGGATGATGTCACTTCTATCCTTTCTGTCCCCTCTGGCTCCTGGGTGGGGGCTGAAATAATCCTCCATCAGTGATTAACATCATGTCTGATCATAGCTGGGAAGGTTTAACTTTCACGCCCACCTTTGAGGTATCTCAAGCTTTTTTCAGTTCACAAAGACAAGTCTGAAACAATTTAATGACACTGAAGCATGCCTGGGGAAAAGATTTGGTCCAGCTACAGAACCCAAATTCCAATTCTTCCCACTGCAGGTGCCTGGTGAGAACATGTTATGATCCCTGGGGCTTTCCAGTATCACATGGGTTGGAAATATCGGCTTGAATGTTTGTTTTATTAATGATTTTAGGGTGTTACCAGTGTGTCATTTTTCTCTTGTAAGCAAAACTTGAAGTTGCTGATAAACCCCTCTGCCGTATGCAGCTATCGAACTTACAGGTGGGTCAAAATATAAGGCCCTGAGACTTGATACACAGACATTGTATGCTAATTAGGCAGGAGCTGTGTTAACAGGGTGATTAGAGTTGGGCAGCCTGACTCAACTCTTCCCACTGAGCCCACATGGACCAAAGGCACTGCCTCCCACCCCTTGCAATCAGCCAGTACTCACCACGATAGCTGCCAGGATGGGCACCTGAATAATCCATTTTAAATTGCCAGCACTCAAGTCCCAACACCTGAGAAGAGATTGACATCCCGTCAGGAAATCATTGGTTAAAAAGAGCAACAGACTCAAGTGTCTCCTTGGATAAATCCACCCTGGAAGGATGGGTTCCTCCAAAGCCTGGTGTGGAGGAAGGACCCTGCCTTCAGTCAGCATGGTTTCTCCTGCTGTTATGCTATTCAAAACCAAACCCACTATTAAACGCCGTTAAAGTTATGCTCTCCAAATGGTGGAACAGCTCTTTCCACTGTCACCAAGACTTGTCCCTTCTGGGCAGGAACCTACCCTTTTCCACTTCTTCACCTCCTTATCAGAAAAAAAACAACACGAAGAGTAATCCAGCTTTCATGAAAACAGGAGAGGCTGAAATGGCCTGATATTCCCCCTTGGAATAAACCTGCACAGGGTTTGTCTGAAGACATGGTGATGGGGTCAATACTGTGGGGTTCCACTTTCAGTTCCTGTGCTTCCTTCAGCCCTGCCCTCGCAGTGAGACCCAGCCATGCCCCACAAAAGTCTTTATCTCCTTTTCATCTTCAGCTCTTATCCAAATGAGGATTGGAAGGGCAAACTGTTGGTGGCGTGGATGTTGGGCTACAGGTCCTCTGTCTGCCAAGAAGGGGCTGAACACTATTTCCTCCCAGGCATTTCCAGCAGCCATTGAATAAGGTCACTCAGTGTTAATTACTCTGTTTGAATTCTCTCCAGCCACGGAGAGAGGAGTGCCACAAGCTTTTCTTTATCTGAGCCAGACAGCCCCCACATGGCAGCTGCAGTTTTCATTTCACAGGCCAAATGCTGCCCAGGCAGCTATTCAAGGAAAGCGAGAGGCAGGGGCAGAGAAACCACCAGTGCTGACTGTAAGGATCTACGAGGGTGAGCCTGTGCCAATGCAGATGCGTCACACTCCAGTAGCTGTACTACTCTGTCCTTCCAAGCCTGGAGCTGAAATTCCATACAGAGGAGGCCCCAGAGATGCTGGGAGGGCTGGAGCCCCTCTGCTGGGAGGACAGGCTGGGGGAGGTGGGGGGGTTAAGCATGGAGAAGGCCAAAAAGGGGAGACCTCAGAGCCCCTTCCAGTGCCTAAAGGGGCTCCAGGAGAGCTGGGGAGGGACTCTGGATCAGGGAAGGGAGCCATAGGATGAGGCGGAACGGTTTTACACTGACAGAGGGGAGATTGAGATGAGATGTGAGGAAGAAACTCTTGACTGTGAGGGTGGTGAGATGGTGGCCCAGGTTGCCCCGAGAAGCTGTGGCTGCCCCATCCCTGGAGGTGTTCAAGGCCAGGTTGGACGGGGCTTGGAGCAACCTGGGCTGGTGGGAGGTGTACCTTCCCATGACAAGGGGGGTGGAACTGGATGATCTTCAGATCCCTTTCAACCCAAACCGTTCTATAATTCTATGAAAGCTGTTCCCGCCCAGGCAAAGCCATTTGAATAGTTGCCTGGGGAAGCCCCACTTTTGCTGGTGGATTGTGGGCAGATGAAACCCATTGTGTGGTCAAGCCTGTGCATTACTGGGGGAAAATGGGATTGTCTGGGGGGTCTGAAGATTGGATACTGTGGATCCTTCATTCAGCATACTGTAAAAATATGAGGCTATGAGGGTGCATGTGAAGGACCAAAGAAGCAACTGATGCAGTACCTTGCTTCTGACAGTAGCCAAAGCTGATATTTAACGTGGGACAGGCAAGCCGATAGTGATATTTTTCTAGAATATTATTCCAACAATCTGCAGTTCAGGACGGCTTCCTGAGCCAGAACATTGCTGACTATTTGATACTTCTGGAGGAATTTATCTTCCATGAATTTGTAGAAATGCTTTTTAAACCTAAGGACGTGCTGGCATCCTAACCTCCTGCAGTGAGGATTTACAGCTTCACCACCTCATCAGCTCCAAACTGTCTCCTTTGACTGTGCTGAACCTGCTGTCTCCCAACTTCATTCCCATTCGCTCAGGATTTTAAAGATCCCTGTCCTGTCCCTGCCTAGCTCTGAGCAGTCCTCTTTAGCCCCATCTATAACAGCTACAAGTGTTCACGTTTATCAAATTCTGTAAAATGAAAGGAAAACTAGGAACGTTGCACCCACTTTACCCTTCTCTGCAACCACAACTGCCCCCCTCCCCCCCCTCCCCCAAGTTTGCTAACTTTGTAATATAAATCACTTCTGACTTTGCCTAGTTCCTTTTTTTTTTTCCTTTCGGTTCACCCACAAAGTCACCATTGCCAAAAGCCCCACAAAAGCACCACACGTGAAAGGGAGAATAGAAAATCCGATGCGACTTACTCTGTGTCGGCTAGAGTGGCTCTCACGCTGGCCCACGCTGTAACAAATACAGCAGGGAGTCCTGCAAAAAAAACACAGGTCAAACAGGGTGAGTAGGGGGTCTAGAGGTCTCGGTTACCATAAGCCCAGGTGGAGTGGGCTAGAGGAAGGCGGAAGAAATAGTTTTGAAATATTCAAGCATAATTGAGACTGGGAAAGCCTGATCTTGATCTCACATCTCTTCTGTAGTCCAAATGGTAAACCATACAGTGGCAGGGAGCATTTTCTGGAAGACAAATGTCATGGTCTGGACATGGCCAGCCTACCGAACTCTGCTGGCTTCCGAAACGGAGCATCTTGCTTTCCCAAGTCGCTGCCCAGGAGTGGTCCAGGCTTAAGCAACCTCCCGGTTTGTGCTTGGAAGATGCTCAAGTCAGGGCGTGAGATGGGTCATGGTCTTGGCAGGGAAAATCACCAAGTTCCTGTGCCTTTCCTCTACCACCATTTGATAGATACATAGCCCGTAGCGCTTGGACCTGGGTGACTGATATCTGCTCTGGCCAACTCATTCAACTTGAAGCAGAGAAGGCTTTCGTGCAGCACACCTTTCCCAAGGTATTTGCTCCCTCTTCCTGACGTTAAGGAAAGGTGGGTCTGGAGTCAGGCTCAGGCCGTTTCTCCCAGCACAGGGCTGGATGGATTAGAAGCTCTGTTAAGTGTGAGAGACTTGCTGCATGAAGCAGATAAATACTAGAATTTAGGGTAACGCTCACAAAATATTCTAGCTAAAGGTTCACTCCCAAATGAACCATCCTTATTTCAGCACTGCTACACTGGCCATCATCTTTTCCCCGTGAAACGTCAAAGAGTCACCAATATCCAAATGCAGTCTTCTATTTATTTTTTTAGGGTCCAGTTCTGCTTTATTTGTACAACTGAGTCCCCTACTGGCTTCCCTTAAAAGGCAGGATCAAATCCACAGTAGCTTCCACAAATTCAAGAAGAATAGCCCCTTTCAGGTGAAAAAAAAAATATTAAAAAATAAATAAAGGCGACATTTATCACCGATGACTGTAAATATGCTGTTCACAGTCTAAGCTCATTGGGGCTCGGCGTGCATAAGCACACGCTTAACTTTCAGCATGCACTTAAGTCTCATTAGGGTGCTTAAAGGCTTTCCTGACCACGGACGCTTTCCTGAGCTGGGGTGTGGAGCAGGGACGCCTGTCTCATGCCCACATGGACAACGGGGCCGTTATCTTGGTTGGAACCTTTAAATGCCATGGTAATATAAGAAAACATAAATAATTAAACACAGAGCCTCACTCAGGACCAGCACAGCAGCGCTGCCTACAAAGATACATTTATAAGGAATGCACCCTGCTTTACAATCCCCTGCGACGGCTGGCACTGGAAAGAAAATACTTAACCTATTGCACTGGGAACCCATTGGTGAAGGTGATGATTTACTCTAACAAGCGCCGCCTATTTCCTCCTCACTGTTAATCACCTATCTATGTAAAATACGTGCATGCTCCGGGCTACTGGCTGAGCTATCAAAGATTAAAATGCGTTTAATTTTGCGGATATCGTTGGTGATATTCCAGTTTATACCAACCGAGAACCTGGCTGCATTGCAAAGTTCAGATATCTGCTGCCTGCCTGCAAGACGGTGGATGTTCACCCACTATCGTGAAGGTCTAAGCTTGAAAGGTGGACCGCTGCAGAGGTTTAGAAGCATTTGACATGTACATGTTCCTCCCTAGCCTTTCCTGTACTTCAGAGAAGACACTGTTCCCATTCATACTAATCCCGTGCTGTGTTCAAGGTTGCTAGCAACAATAAAATATACAAGAGAAAATAATTAGACCTAAAAAAAATCCCTATGTGTGGATTTATTGTACCCTGTGCACTGCTGCCTCACTCTGCTCAAGCAAGCTTAGGAAAAAGATCTCTGACATCTTCTGCAAAACACACAAAGCAAATTCCTGGCATCAGTTTTATTGTTACATTTGCCTTTCTGCGTGTCTGACATTGTTCTCTTTTTGCAACGTGAACAATCGTAAATATTCTTAAATTTTCAGAAAGCGGTACGCATGCTCCTCCTCCCTTTCCTCCTTCTCATTTTTAAATTCTCTCTATATCAATGTAAGAAGGAGTGTTTGGGCCATCAGGTAATTTCTAGAGCTCAATCTTTTCCTCCCACTCTGCTAAGCTCATCTTGCAACGGGAAGAGTCAGAAGGCTCAGCTTCGCCTCCAGCAGCTCTTTTACTTTCAGAGGGTGATGACTGACTTTTTGGCGCCTACACTTCAAAGCCCTGGTCCGTGGTGCCCCCAGATTGACAATCCCTCCTGCTAAGCACTCACAGCGCCCATTGATGGGAGAAACCTTAACCCGAGAATCAGGACTGAGGTCCTCAAAGTTAGACATTCCAAAGACACCCACAAAATGGCAAGACACCCAAGAGGGTGCAGCTCTGTGAGCAGGAAAGTCATACGTGATTAAATGCATCTGGCCAACCCACCAGAGAAAGGGAAATGAGTCTCCAAAAAGCCTGTGATCTCCTGGGTGGCTTTGAGCTCGGACAGATGGATGCATGCATGTCCTCCCCCTCGCACGTATGTACCCCACGTGCATGACCGGTGTGACGCAGGACGAACCCCACCGGGTGGCGATGCTGTGAGTGACTTCTACAGAATCCACATTGTATGCGCTGTGCATTTCCAGTCCATACACACAGTGTGTACAATGCAGGTGCTATAAAGTCAGGTATCTCCCCATCAGCTGGAAAATGTGCAAACCTCAAACTGGGCAAAGTCTAGTGGCCACCCCAACCCCCTACTCTCTCCTTTAGCTCCTTTTCTTGTGTCTCCCAGCAGCTGGAAAAGGGGCTTTCACGCATATGTCAAAGTGGTGAGTAAGAGAGGCGGTTGCAAAGAAGATTGCTAGAAGAAAGCTTATGACTAAAGACCTTACTTAGGTCGGGAGAAATCTGGTCTTGGTCCCCTGCTCTTTGAAAACCTCTCTGAGGAACAATGCATGTGTTTTTTTCAGTCCCTCCGTGTCACAGTTTCTCAATATTAAATGAGGTTAATAATACCGTCTTATGCCTCTGATCCTGTTAGGTATGAATACTTTCAGGCAAGGATGATTTCTGCTTAGATAAACACGCAGGGCTCACCATCATGAGTTTTTGGACCTGAGCACCTCTAACAGTAACACGTCGATCTATTTGGCTTTTCCAGGTCTCCCCACAATCCTCAGTTGCACCATAGCTGAAAGCCAGTGCAGTCCAGCCGGGGGGAGGGAAAATTAACGTGATGTGAAGGAAAAATGCCAGTGGAATCAGCTTGGGTTTTCTAGCTATTGGTCATGCTTCTTAGACTTCCTTCATAAAACAGCTGCAGGGAACCTGAAGTCTGCTGGGGAATTTATTGTTGCCCATAATGTCATTATTTATTTATTTTTGTTGGGTGCTGGCAAGGAACAAGTTCCTTTCTGTCATCAGTGTCTCCCTTGCGAGAAAGGCGCTGCGGATTTTCACGGAGCTGTGCTCCCTTGTGCCAGTGAGGATGTGGATTGAAAAGACTGGACAGAAATCTTTGGGTCTGACATCAAAGAGTAGCTATACATTCTGGTTTCCTCAGTAGTCTGGAAATGAGATGTTGTAGGGTGATTTTTGCTCCCTATTCCCACCTTGGAAATTTCCAGGCAGGATAAATCCACTGCTGTTTATTGTTATGCAAGAAAGAAAAAAAAAAAAAAGAAAGAAAAATACCAGCTTTTGGGACAAACTTGTCTTTTCTGTACCTACGTGGAATGTCATAATTATTTATCGCTGATTCCCTGTCATTCACTGCTGTGGTATGGGCAGGATCCAGTGCCCGCTGCAGGGAACTGGAGTTTTTCCACTGACTCCAGTGGGTCTTGGATTGGGTTGCCCTTTCCAGTGCCCAAAAGCTATCAAAGCAATACGTCTGTGCGGGTGTGTGTGTGTACATTATCATGCTAATCAAAACAAAGCAAAAACAAATGCAACTGGAGGGATCCTATGTTCTCATTCCAGAGGAATTTAAATTGAGCAGCCTCAAACTCTTAGAAGCGCGTAGATGATTGGTGTTGTGACAGGTGTGACTTCAGCTTTGTGGTTGCTCTGATAAAATGATTATACTCTGGCAGTGGTTGGAAGAATTAATGAGAGGAACCCATGCCTGTTAGACTGTTTTCCTTTGGCTGCCTTACGAACAGCATCAAGTTGGTTTTTCTTGTTAAACATATGGCATTATTTTTCAGCTGCTTCCCCCTCTTCCAGAATTTGCTCTGGGGAATTGTTTCTTTAAGTCTGCTCTGAACAGTTTAATGCCATTTTCTGAGAACCAACTTTTACGTAGCTTGAAGGTTTGGAAGAGGGTGGGTTTTGGGTTTCGTTTTTTGTACATTTATTTTAAAAAAGAAGTGACATCTAAAGTCCTCTCTGTCTCACAGCAGCTGAGGTGAGAAATGCCCTGTCCCCAAAGTATCATAGAATCATAGAATGGTTTAGGTTGGAAAGGACTTTGAAGATCATTGATTTCCAACCCCACTGCCGTGGGCAGGGACACCTCCCACTAGACCAGGTTGCCCAAGGCCACGTGCAGCCTGGCCTTGAACACCTCCAGGGATGGGGCCTCAACAACCTCTCTGGGCAACTTGTTCCAGTGCCTTACAACCCTCTCTGTATTTATTTATTTTCCCCAAAACCTGCCAGCTGGCTGGGACTAGACTTTGTCTGAGAGATGGATGCCCACTTTGGGACTCATATTTACACCTCCTGTCTTTAGCGTGTGGCAGCACTAGCACCAGCTGAACACGAGGTTAGCAAGGAGCTTGGGGATCCTTTCTCCTCCATAATCATAGTGGGGAAGGAGGAAGGCTGGAAAGAGTCCTGCGGGGTGGACTGCCCTGGGCTCGTGAATCCCTTGCCTGCTCTCATGAAGCACACAAAACCCCACAATCCTCCAAAAAACTCAGATCTGCACTATCTGGCTTGCTCAGAGCTCCACTGTTAGAGACACCAGAAGAAACCACGTGCTGGATTGGGGATGGTGTGGTGCACACATTAATCTCATCCTAAAATGCAGTCAGGATGTGGTCAGGTGCATTTTGGACCTGGAAACTGGGAAGTGGTCCTGGGCCATACAGTTCAGAGGTAACCATAGGCACCTCTGAACAGGTTTTTACTGCTGTAAGCTCCATTGTAGACCTACACTCCATTATTCTTATTTATGTCCTTGAGGATCATCTAATACGTTTCCTGTTCTACCTTACAGTCCGCATGCTTCAAACAACTGCGAGCAGTTGTTTTATTGTCCTCAGCCTACCAGCACCTCATAACTCCTCGCAAGCCAAAGCTAATGCCAGAAGTGAACAGAAAGCACATTCTCATCTGAAACGTGTGTGCCCACAACATCTTCCAGTAACGAGCACCTTCCCTGCACCCACATCCCATCCCTTTCTCTTTACTCCAGGAAAAGATGCCCAAGTTAAAAGAGAAGGGGAGAAAAAAAAAAAAAGTTTTCCCCCCACATTGCAGGTTTCTACTGGTGCTCCAACACTCATGAAACCTCAGGAGCTTTTTCAAGTGACTGAGATCTGAGGTAGGAAATCAGAGCTTGGGTCTGCCATAAGGAGCAGACGCTCGCAGCCACATGCAACATTCTGCCTCTCCAGCCCAACGCCTGTTTCTCAGCAGGAGGCACTTGGCAGAGACGGGGATAACTCAGAGGGTGTATTAAATCAGCTGTCACATGCACACATCTGCTGCCCTGGAAGGATGGTGAGATGTGCCGTCTGTCCAAGCCTGGGCTGATCCTTCCAGAGATCCTGGAAGTGCCACAGTGTAAGTACCACAATTTAGAAATGATGAAGGTTTCACAAGAGAGTTAACCTGTCCTTGCAAGAGTCACTGTGTCTCTGATGCTCACCCTGTGTCTGTCCCCTCTCCTATATCTATGTGTATGCACTATCTGCTTCAAAGACTATCTCCAACAGGCTTCTTACCAGTCAGCCGTAAAGAGCAGCCATGACTTACCCCAGCCAAATAATGTGAATCCCCAAAGATACTTCTTCTCTGAGAAAAATGCCATGAAGATGAGGCTGTGGAGATAGAGCCCTTCCACCAGAATCCAGTAGTAATTGGTTGCCAGGAAGTAGAGGAAGAAGGTAACCGCTACTTTACAGCCCACCTGCAATGACCACAGAAAGGCAGGGTTATGTGAGGAGCGTGGTTTGAAATTCTTGTTCAACATAAAGCCATAATTTGCCATAATGGGCCACAAAACAAGACAGAAGAAGGAAAAAAAAATAATCAGAAAATTCTGTTGCAGGGCTTTTACAAGAAAAATCAGTGCAAGAACAGAAGAGACGAACAACTGAGAAGAAAGCTTCCCCTCAGCCTGACATTGTGTCCCCTGGTGACTTGGGAGGAGGACAGGGCATGTGTGGAAAGATAATGACCTAATCCTATACTTTCCCAACCCAAGTGATGAGGGGCTCACAGTCTTTCTAGGGCAGCTGTGTTTCTCCTTTTCCCTGTATCTCTTGTCCATGTTAGAGGACAAAGGGCTGTGGCCAACTCGCCTCGGTCTGGGTGACCTGCTGCAAGTCACATCACTTGGAATGATGATTTCTCCCCTCAGCTCGTGGAGAGATATGGGCACCATGCTGAGGGTGAGTCACTCCATCCTGTCATGGATGTCCAAGACAAGGTCCTCCAGGGCTGCCTGTCTTTCCTCAATGAGTGTGAAGACACCCTCAGTGGCTGCTGTAGGCTTTGGCGACTGCTCCTCCAAGAGCAAACAGAAGCTGGAGGATTTCACCCACAATGCCAAGGTGGAATGTGGAAATGCTGGGACTCGGGGTAGTTCCATTTCACAGGAAACCTGTGACTCCCAAACACATCCCACAGCAGCAGGACATCTCCATGCTGCCCCTTACTTTGAGGGGAATACAAGAGACTTGCAGAAGATGTCAATAATATGTACCTTGTAAATAAAAAGTGATTTTTTTTTTCTTTTATTCTGGCACAGCTCTTACGCTAATCCTTAGCCAATCAAAATGAATAGGCACATATTATATACATATATATGTGTATATATACGTATATATGTAAAATATGGACATCTTTACACCCATTTTCTTTTACAGACAAAGTAAGTGAACGTAGAAGGAAGATTAATTAAAAAAATCCCCATCCAGGTTTAATAACAGTTTTTATATTTTCAAAAAATCATCATCTACCCCCACACAGGGAGCATCAGGCAATAATTGCAAAGCTCCCACTTCACTTAGAAACAAAAGAAACACATGAATTTTCGCCTTCATCACTCATTTGCCTTCCAATTCAGCAAAATGGAAAATGCTATTAAATCGTTAATATTCAAAGAATGCAATATATTATCCCAATTATTCCTTATAATGAGTCCAGCCCAAGGAGAATCAGAAGACAATGCAGTAAAACACTTTGTGTTCTTTGCAAAAAAAGAGGAGTGTTTTGAAGCGTGCTGAGTGCTCCAGCCGGAGACTTACCAAACTAATGAAATGGATCTCTGAAATGGAAAGGAAACATGATAACAAATTTCCATTTGGGGGCATTTGGACGCACAGTGGGACACTTCATATATGCTGATTTTATGCGGGGGTGTTGGTGGCTAGGTCCCTGGTAGTAGCACAAGCTGTGAAAGACTTGAGAAGCCGAATGAATACAGAGGCAGAACGTTTGTTGCCACATTGCGAGAGCCACTCCACTAGGACGTTTGAGGTAGCTCAGATTTTTTGTGTTGCATTGAATGCACCCCTTGATCGTAGATACTAAAATCTACCTCCTCTGCCTCTGCAGCATCCAACAATTCATGGACGATGAGCTATCATACTGTGGGAAATCTGTGATGAGGCTGATGACAGGGAGAGCAGACTGCTTCAGAAGGTGGGGACAATTTTGAAAACTGAGGATGGGCTTCATCCCTCCCAAGCACATGGACAATGCAGATGTTGCCATCTGGGCTTGTTATACAGTAAGAAGAAATACGTACTTCTGGAGTCTGTTTACCTGCCCTCACTTCAATTTTTATTTTATGATATGGTATGTCATACCCTTGACTCGACTGGCTGTGTTGACCATACAGACTCAGCTGACCATAGATGGAACCTGAGGTGACTAGGCTGAATGAAGGTGACTCCCTTGTAGACATCTGCTTTTTGCAGATGAACCCTACCCTTTCTTATGATAGGGCATAATCCCTCCATTGTCCCTTCTAAAATGTCTTTTTTTTCTCAGATATGGGAGCGATAAATCCCAACAGGAGCAACCACCTATGGTTTCCCTCCAAATTACAGTCAGGTGAGATGTCTACTGTGGACCTTCCTCCTCGGAAGCTACCTCTGCTTTGGCTCTCGTGTCAGGGTTGAGAACCTCTCAAGATTTCGTTGAACTATGTTTTTGCTACACCTGGGCTGTCAGTTTGAAGGCACAGATGTTACAGCACAGTGGTGCCTCCATGAGTCATACAGAAAGGAGCTCCAAGTGGAAAATCAGCCAGTTGCACATTGTGGTGGGAGAAGTACACACCGTGAAATGCAAGTACTAATGTGCCTTGCACTGGGAGGAGTTTCCAGAGCTATACACTTTAGGGGGCATCAGGGGAATGATGAAAATAGTAGTTGTAGTTGGGAACCTTTGGAACTTACATCAACCAAAGGTAAAGTCAACTTAACCTTTGATGGCCATGGGGAACAGTTCTTCCTTAGCTCTGGGCCTGGGCAGTCCCTCTGGGCTAATGGATTGAGAGGGAGTGGGAAGGGATGGGAAGAGGCTGTGGAGGGTGAGGAAAAGGGGGAGCTAGTGTCCCTCAGTAGGGTGGAAAATCCCTCTGAAATAGGCGAGGTGTTGAACAGAGAGTACAGAGGCACAATGCCTGGAGAACCGTCTGCTCTGGTGATACTCACAAACTGTGACTTGTCCGCTGGAGGTGCTTCAGTAATGGATTTCAAGTCTTCCTCTGAGATCCGTTCCATCTCTTCCAAAGCTGACCCAGAGTACAAGACTGCGTCCTTCACGAAGATGCTCACGGCTCTCAGCATGAAGGAGACAAATAGGTGCATGTGGATGTAGTTTCTAGTGCAGTGCAAACGTCTGGAGGAGGAGACAGAGAAGGATTGGAGTAGTTTAGCCCATCTGTTGGACAGACGCAGGGTCACCTCTGCTTCAGAAGAGCCCCAGCTCCTCTCATGAGCACTGTGCCACCATGGGGAAGCAGTGCTAATGTCACTGCTGTCCTGCACTCATGGTTCACCCATGGGGTTGGTAAATGAATTAGTAACTACTCCATGGGGCTGGTAAATGGATTAATACCTACTCCATGGGGTTGGTTGCAGTACACTGCTGCTGACTTCACGTTAGGACAATGCTGTTCCTCTGCTCATTTAAACTCCTCAATTTCTGACTGGGAAACCTTGCAAAGAAATAGGGGTGCATTTTGCCAGTGTGGGGCATGGGTAGTGAGCGCGCCTGCAGCAGGCAGTGTGGGCAGTGAGCCTACATCTGGAGGATGGTGGGTGTGCAGTGCACATGCAGCTGGAGGTGGGTATGCGATACACAGTCCATGCTCAGTATGTGCACACCTGGAGCTCAGTGTGCGCGCAGTGTGTGTGCAGTACACGCGTGAGGAGTTTCATAGAATCACACAATGGTTTGGGTTGCAAGAGACCTTAAAGATCATCTCTTTCCTCCCCCCTGCCATGGGAAGGGACACCTCCCACCAGCCCAGGTTGCTCCAAGCCCCGTCCAACCTGGCCTTGAACACCTCCAGGGATGGGGCAGCCACAGTTTCTCGGGGCAACCTGCCCCAGGGGATCACCACCCTCACAGCCAAGAAGTTCTTCCTAATATCTCATCTCAATTTCCCCTCTATCAGTTCAAAACTGTTCCCCCTCTTCCCATGGCTCCCCTCCCTGATCCAGCATCCCTCCCCAGCTCTCCTGGAGCCCCTTCAGGCACTGGAAGGGGCTCTGAGGTCTCCCCTTTTTGGCCTTCTCTTCTCCAGGCTGAACCCCCCCAACTCTCCCAGCCTGTCCTCCCAGCAGAGGGACTCCAGCCCTCCCAGCATCTCCGTGGTCTCCTGTGCCAACAGAGAGTTGCATGTGCAGGACACTGCGTCTGCAGTGCACATACATCTGGAAGCAGCGAGATGTGCCTTCAGTAAGAAGCCCATGAGCAGTGTCTGCCCACCCGGTGAACACCAGGATGAATGCAGTGGGTGCGCAGCAGCCTACATGGCGGGGGGGATGTGCAGTGAGTGTGCATCAGACATGCAGTCGTTTTCCAAGGTGTACAGTCAGAGGGCAGGATACGTGCACAGTGCTCGCCGGTTCTAAAGAGTGTGTCCTGTGCGTGTCCCTTTCGCTGTTAAATCCATCCCGCCAACAAATCTACCCCTCTCAGAGTCAAACCCGCCATTTGAAGACTTCACATTTATCTGCATTTTGTGCAGAGGAAATGGACTGCAATGGCTACAGAACTAGTGGCCACTAAAAACTTTGCAGAGGTTCTGGTAAACTGCTAATCTTTGTGCCCACTCCGAATTTAGTAGCACTGTAGTAACTGTAGTATGCTGGGCTGTTTTCTCTGCCATTAGAGACGCTATCCTTTGCTTGGTCATGTTGCTCCACCTCAGCAATGGCAGCAATGACCCCACAAATGCTGATTGTAAAGCGCTTTAAGGTCCTTTTTTGGGGGAAAAGCTGTATGGTAAGAAGTGAACGGGTTAGATCCATATCTACAAGGTGTGTTTTAGAAACAACGATGATGCCTTTGGGGAGAAGCAGCAACTAACTGACCTGTTGGAGTCCCCTTCTGTCCCCTGTAGCTCTGTTGCCTGGCTAGCCGTGCATGAATTTATGAATGGATTTATACTCTCTTAAATCCCCAGCTCCAACAATCGAAATAAAAAATAAAAACTGTGCTTTTTTCTCCTTTGGAGGAGATTGTGATAGTAATAACAGTCCTTTCCTGTGCTATTATAATACAAATTATGCCAAGTGGAACTGCTGAGGTGTAAATTAAGACGGGCTTTGATCCCTGCATTTGAAATATAGTCAGTGAGTCTCTGGATTATGTGTTATCTGGAATAAAATCTGGCTTGGTTTTTGCTGCTGCTTCAATCCTTGGGACAAAGACATTCTAGCACAGTCACCCATGTAGTCTGAGCTGTAAGTGAAGTGCTTTGACTACATCAAGAAAGAGAGAGCACATCTCCTGAAACTAGAACTCTTGCATAGATGGACATTAAAT